CAAGTATTTGAAGCGGTTTCTTAGTTTTTATGTCCAGATGAACGGTTACCAAGTCGATGTAAAAGAATGTCCCATTCAATAGAAAATTATTTAATTTAAAATAATATATTTCTCGCCATTATGAGTTTAGGGCTAGAAACTTGAGGATCAGGTAAAATGTGAATTTGATAAGGTAGTTTCTAATAATTCATGAAATTGATTAGACTATTCCCACAATTGTAAGTGTTCCTCAGTTTTTTTTGCGGTTTTCCCGTGAACCTGGCTCTTTGTCTAATAATCATTAAAAACATCATTTACATTAGCTCTAAATTGATTAAAGATTGTAATCATGGATCATATAATGCTAATTATCCTGTTTATTATTGTGATTATAGGGTATGTTTCTGCTATGGTTAACAACAATGGTTCCAAATCTAAAGCCACCTGCTTGCAATCAATTAACTGAAACCTGCAAACAAGCCACACATTCTCAATATGCTTTCTTGATCTTTGCCTTCATATTCATTTCAATGGGATCAGGGGGTGTAAGACCATGTTCTTTAGCATTTGGTGCTGAACAAATAGACAATAAAAACAATCCCAATAATGAGAGGGCATTAGAGAGCTTTTTTGGATGGTATTATGCTGCTGCTGCGACTGCGGTTTTGATTGCGTTTACGGGTATCGTTTATATTCAAGATCATGCCGGTTGGAAGGTGGGTTTTGGGGTTCCTGCGATTCTTATGTTGTTATCTGCACTTTTGTTCTTTGCTGCTTCCACTCTGTATGTGAAGATGAAAGTTAAAAAGAGCTTGTTCACTAGCTTCATACAAGTGATTGTGGTTGCTTATAAGAACCGAAAACTCCCATCTCAGCCTCCGAATGCTGATGCGTGGAATCATCATAAAGATTCACCCGATGCCGTGCCCACCAAAAAATTAAGGTATATCATCGTTTACTACAACAAAATCGGCTTTATAGGACGCCAAATGTGTCTAAATGTTCTAATTGTTTGGTCCTATATTAGGACATTTAGGCTTGTTTGGTTGGTTTTTCGTTAAGTCCCGTGTGGATAAAAGTTGTCTGTGTAGATTAATTTGTCTGTATAGATTGAGAAGGTTTTTGTTTTGAGGGTTTTTTCCCTAGATGGAAGGATAATTTTTTGACTTTATGCAGAAAGCTCCCTCCTAAAAGCTTATTGAATAAGTCACTTTCTATATCATTAAGCCACTTTCAAAAAATCCTTTTTGGCTGATTGAATAAGTTGAGTCCCAAAGTCCCATTAAGCTCATCAAGCTGCTAACAAACAAATGTCTTAATAGACAGCTTTATAGGTTCAAACAACTGTTTCGCCTTATAAAACAGTCTATTAAGACATTTAGACATATTTCGCTAAAGCTGGTTTTGTTGTAATGGTTCTTTTGGTTGTGGTCACTTTGAGTCCCATATGGATTACAATTGTACAAGTTTGGCTAAAGATGTGAGATTTATATGTAGGTTCTTGAACAAAGCTTGCATCATTCAGAACCCGAAAGACTTGACCGCGGATGGAGTTGCTTCCGATCCGTGGAGTCTATGCACGGTTGAGCAAATCGAAGAACTGAAATCACTGATCCGGGTTCTGCCATTATGGTCTTCGGGAATCATGATGTCGATAAACGTGAGCCAATCTTCTTTTCCTGTAATCCAAGCTTCCACCATGGATAGACACCTTGGATCGAGCTTCCAGATTCCGGCAGGCTCCTTCGCTTTCTTCACGATCGCGGTATTAGCACTTTGGGTCGTGCTTTATGATCGTGTTATCCTCCCATTCGCATCAAAACTCCGAGGAAAACCAGTCCATCTTGGCGTCAAATTAAGAATGGGTATCGGTCTAGTTTTCTCCTCCATGGCCATGGTGGTTTCCGCCATTGTTGAACATGCTCGAAGAAAGAAAGCAATCGAACAAGGGCTGTTCAACAGCCCTCAAACCGTTGTCGCCATGTCAGCAATGTGGTTGGTCCCACAATACTGCCTCCATGGATTAGCAGAAGCTTTTAGTGCAATCGGGCAGAACGAATTCTACTATTCGGAGTTCCCGAAAAGCATGTCGAGCATTGCTGCTTCTCTTTTCTTGTTAGGAATGGCTGTGGCTAACTTGTTGGCTAGCCTGATCCTTAGCACGATCGAAAAGCTCACGAAAGATGGTCGTAAAGAAGGGTGGATCGCCACCAATATCAACCAAGGCCGCTACGATAGTTACTATTGGGTTCTAGCCATAATGAGCTTCGCGAACCTTTTGTACTTCGTGGCTTGCAGTTGGGCTTACGGCCCTTGTGCTGACGAATTGGTGAAACAGGAGACGAAAAGTAGTAAAGACTCGACCGAGGAGTTGCAACGAGCGAGATCCGTAGCAGACGAAAGGCAAAGCCTGTTTTCTAGCTTGCCATCGTGATCGGTTTTCAAGAAAATCTTGGAAATATAAGGTGTTTTTCAAGAACCCTAATGAAAGATTGAAGGGGAAAAAAAAAAGGGGGTGTCGGTGAATCACGAAAGCGATCCCAATGGATCGATTTCGGAATGGGGAATGTTGTTTAGGTTGTGTTTGGTTTGATGTTTGATGATGATAGAAAGGTGGGAAGACAAGTTGTTTGTGGTGTCCATAGAACGGGTTTCGTCGGGTAGTTTTTGTATTACGGATGTCGTAATCGGTCGGATCGATCGAACTCGGAAATATACTTGTAAACATAAATATTAAGTGTGTTTTTAAGGTTTTTGTTTGAAGTTGCAAATAGGGTTGTGTTGGAATTGTATGAATTAATTAATTGTGTTGTAAATGAAAAAGTAATGGATTCAGAAACCATTTGAATTGTGTCGTACTGATTAAATTTTTAGTGGATGTAGTGGAAAATTTGTTGTTAAAACCAGATTGTTTATAGTCAATCCAGGTGTTGTCAAAACCCTTGTAATCATAAATGGTTCAACTGCGATGATTCCAGAATAGATTAGTCAGTACGCTGTATTTGTAAGCTAGTCTGAAAACCCACGGTTATAAAAAAACCTAAGGAGTTGTTTGTTTACCTCTTAATAGTTCATTAAGAGGCAACATCTGAATCGTTAAAAGGTGAATCTTGTTTGGCAAAAAAAAGTCTGCCTCTTAATGATTCTATTACCTCTGAATGATTTTGTATCTTGGAACTCCCTTAACCATCAAGAGTCTTGATTTCATTGTATACAATTACCAAACAATTATATTTCATTTTGCATTATATCATGAGAGTCTCTTAATCATTCTAACCACTTAATCATTTTACACCAAACTATTTAATAATTACCAAAAAAGGTTAAATATAAAATGGACAAAAACAAGAACAATAATCCATATGATGTCCCCAAGATATGTGGGTGTGACAGAGGGGCATTCCTTTATTTGTAAAAGACAGATCATCAAGCTAAAATTGTTCCCTTAAATTCAGGGGGTGGTTCAAAAACTTGGGGGTTTGGCCCTACTTATCATTTCTTTTTTCAAAAGGAATTTTGATGCCGAACTATTTTACAGTTATTAAATAGTTTGATGTAGAATGATTAAGTGGTCAGAATGATTAAAAGACTTTCATGATATAGCATAAAATGAAATATAATTGTTTACGATGAAATTATGGTGCTGAATAGTTGTTATATGAGATTCTTATTTTCTTGTATTACCAGCCGCCTCACATGAAACCTGTCTCCAATAACATTAATATAAGGAGGTATTTTTTGACTCACTCAACGGTTGAGGCTAAAAAGGACGGCTGTATTTACATAATAACGTATTAATTGAAGTCTTTTTCATTATTACTCAAAGTAATAAATAAAAAGAAACAATGTTTAATGATTAAAAGAATAAACTTATAAATAATTAAATATATATAATAATTAGAGAACATGTGATTATCCAAGTGATGATTAAAATAGTAAGTAGAAGCTAGAATTCCTCTTAAGCCATGATAATAATTCCTCAATATTATAATCCAACTTCTTTTGTTTTTTTTTTAATTGGATAAGAATTATGGTTATGTATACTGGTTTTACGATCATCATAAAGACAGCCAGACGGGTGGTGCTCGGATTCAAATCGGAGATCTCGCTTTAACAGATGATTGTCAACCTCCTTATTGTTAAGACACTTGGGGTAGGGACGGACCTATAGTTGGACATATGGTGGCACGTGCCTCTGTATTATTCATCTGCTGAAAGTAAAAAAAAATTAGATTCATGAAAGGTGCAACTGTATTAATTTGTTGTGTGTCACATTATGTATTTGAAACTACAATGAAAACAAGTTTCATTTGGTAGGGTTGGTTTGCAAGACTTTTATTCCACCTAGACCTAAATTCGAATCGTGTTAGTGTTATTTTCTTAGTCAAATGGTGTCAATGTTTGAGAAAAAAAATTCCCTGTAGTTTTTTTTTTCTTATAGTCAAATGGTGTCACCGTTTGAAAAAATTTATGGGTTCATCCCTGACTTAGGATGCGTTTGGTATCTAGACAAGATACAACATAGCGGAACACAATAAAACATAACATGATCATACGTGACATAGCAGAACAGGACAAAACATAACAAATGACATGACTAATAAAATGACCAATTTACCCTATCTTTTCTATATTTTGATTAATTTATGTGTTTTATTAAGTTATAGTAAAATAAATATTTTTTATAACAAAATATATTATTAGAAAGTTTTCATCATGACAATTAAAATGACACAAAAAATATGAACTTCATATAATTCCAGTTTACTATTAATATTTAATAAATTACATATAAGTTTAACAAATATAGAAACTGTATAAAATAATATTTTGATGACAGTAAAGTGAAAATCTACAAAAAACCATAAAATACAATAAATAAAATTTAAAGAATTGATAAAATGTAAAGAAAGAATTTGATGTTTTCAAATATAATTAGGTTTTACTTTGAAAATATATTAATAAAATATAAGTTTGTTTCACCTTGTTTCATGGGATGGGGATCAAACATGCATGTTCCATTTTATTCTTATGTTCCTGTCTATTTCATATAAAGATCATATCAAATGTAAAACAGTGATCCCTGTTCTGTTCTCGAAACTTACCATATTATCAATTTTTAAATAACGAGGAATTACAAGAATCATATAAATCAAAGCCAACATTACCATAATAAGCACATCATCGTTAACTTCTAACAACTCGAAAGGAAATTATATGTAGAGTTTTCTGACAGCGGTATCCCTAACAGGAATACCGACAGCCGAGAAAATAAAATCTCCGTTACCATCGACGAGAGCATGCAGTTTACCGTTTAACATAGATTACACACAAACGGTATGTTGCATCTTTCGTCGATGATAAAATCGGTTTATTGTTCTTCAGCAGCCAGTTTCATCTTCAGCTCCTTTTTGTTCACCTAAAAGTTACACACAAAATGATTCATTAGGTTTTGGTTGTAGAAGAACATTAAGCAACCAAAGGGCCTTTGGCCTAGCAGGATCTGAGCCTTTGGCCTCCTAGGAAATCTGGGGTTCAAACCTCAGCAAAGACGAAAAGGGTGTGTGAGTTCATTTGTTACATTTTCCGTAAGTAGATGTGCAAATGAATAAGATCATAACGGTTACAAATACGGTATTTTACCTTTCCCATGGCATTACGAGGGAGCGAGTCCCATAAAAATAATCGGGTTGGTATCTGGAGATGGTAACACAAGATCAGTAACGGGTAATTTTTTGATAATAATTAGAAATAAATTTCATCTAAGATGTGAAATATATGTATAAATTTCTGTAACATATATAGACTACAGACGGTTAGCTTCTAGTTGTATGTTAATGCTTTTTCTTAATCAACTTTGCAAATCATGTCTTTTTGTGACACTTTTCACAAGTTGAGGTTTTCACAGAAACAACTGTTTTATTCTTTGGGATAGATGTCAGATCTGCATACCGCACTCCACCTCCAAAAGGGATATAACGGGTTCGTTTGGTTTTGGACTACAGATAGTCGGTGAGACTATATAATTATCAACTTGATAAAGGGGGACCCTGGTGCACTAAAACGACTCAACTTTGTTACGGTTGGAGATAAGTATTTATGATGTCTTTACTTTACGCTTTGCAAAGGGACCCGACCTTTTAGTCACATAGGATTTATGTTACTATTTGATCCAAGGTTTGTTCTTGGGGAAAAACATTAAATTAAATTGCTGATAATATGCAAAAAAAGACTGCGAGGAAAGCATACTACATGCTCACTTCAGAATGTGAAAATTATAGCATCATTGGTCAACTTCGGGGCTGTTTGGTTGATTTTTCATTAAGTTCTGTATGGATAAAGCTGTCTGTGTGGATTAATTTGTCTGTGTAGATTGAAAAAGTTTTTGTTTGGAAGGGCTTTTTAACAGACATGAAAAGCATGTTTTTAATTGGGAGGGGCATGTTTGTAAAAAACTTGGTTTTGTGCATAAAGCTCCCCCTAGAAGCTTACTGAATAAGCCACTTTCTATATCATTAAGCCACTACCAAACAGTCATGCATAACTAACCAATTGTCCTAAGAGTTTCGGGAGGGGTCTAGATAGGTGAGGGGCCAAAGAATTATGGATTGCCTTAGTGTTGAGTCCCTAAAGTAGTAGACCTTGATTCTATGTGGAACCTCATATTAACTCCAAAAGAGGCCTTGAGAAAGAGATTCTAACACACACACACACGCACACACACACATATACATATACATATACATATACATATACATATACATATACATATACATATATATATATATATATAT